TACTTAGTCATTCTGCCATTGCCAGACCTCCTCTGGCAAAGAACTGGTTGGAAAAACCAGGTTTAAAAAAAAAAGATTTTATTTATTTATTTGACAGAGAGAGGGCGAGGGAAAGAGAGAGCATAAGCAGAGGGAGCGGGAGAGGGAGAAGCAGACTTCCTACTGAGCAGGGCACCTGATACTGGACTCCATGCCAGGACCCTGAGATCCTAACCTGAGCTGAAGGCAGATGCTTAACTGACTGAGCCACCCAGGAGCCCCTGTTTGAAGCTTTTGACAAATACCATCAAACTGCCGTCCAAAGGTTGTGCCATTTCATAATGGCATGGGATAATTTTTGACCTAGCTGTTTTATTCTCTGATTCTATTTTAAGGTGGAATGGAGGTTGTAGGAAGTGTTACTTAAGAAATTAGATGACTAAGGGTGCCTTGGGTGGCTCAGCTGGTTAAGCAACTACCTTCAGCTCATGTAGTGATCCCGGAGTCCCAGAATCGAGTCCGGCATGGGGCTCCCAGCTCTGGGGGAATCTGCTTCTCCCTCTAAACTTCTCCCCTCTCATGCTCTCTCTCACTTTCTCTCTCTCTCTCTCTCAAGTAAATAAATTTAAAAAATCTTAAAAAAAAATTAGATGAATGACAGTAATTCAGTCAATCAAGCAATCAGTCAAAAAAGCATTTAGATAATGTGCTAGGAATTGTATATGAGAAGTCCATAGTTATAGTGTGACTGACAAAAGAAATAGTAATAGCAATAAAGAAGAAAAAAAATGAACAAACCTCTAGTGCATAAAAGGACCTACAACACTGAATTTAAAGCAGTCAGTACAAATATGCAAATTACTACATTACATTACATGCTGCTATTCAGCGGGGTGGGATGTATATAGAGAGGGGAATTTTTGTCCCCTGCCTTCCTTGAAAGTCAGGACCAGCTCTAGACAGAAGCTGTGACACAGGTGAAGTTTGTATTGGCAGACAGTCCCTTCCCACAGGCGCTTTGTACTGTGTGCTGTATACTATTTGTCTGGTGTCCCCCCCAGGAGCCACCCAAGGGCACATGACATAGGCTGGGGACATTCAGGGTCTTCCCCAGGTTGATTTGAGAAGGTGGGTCAAGAAAATCCTCTTTCCATTGGGGCCGTGAAGCTAGAAATCTGAGTAGTTGGGGCTGCTGGTCCCCATGTCTCCTGACTGTAGAGAGGCAATTCCGGACAGCAGGCTGAAAACCACAAACATAGAAGTTTGTCCTAAACTAAGTGCCATTTCCCCGCCATGTCTCAGATGGCATTCCCGCCTGCAGTCTCAGAACTGTAGGATTTCTCTCCTCTCTTCTGTTGCTCCCCCTTAATAAAAAGCCCTCACCCCGTGATCCCATCTTCCTCCTCAGCTCTCTCTTCCTCATTCCAGCCCAACCTCTTGAACAAGTGTCTACACTTACTCTCTCCGCTTCCTTATTTTTCACCTCAAGCTACTAGAAATGGGCTTTAGCCCCCATCCCTCTACAAAAATGGCTCCAAGATTACTAAGGATGTCCATTGCCATCTCTTCATGACTGCCTTTAGTCCTTCTTTACTCGATCTCTTAGTGTCATTTGGCGTAACTAACCAATTCCTTCTTGTTTGAAAACCCTTTGGTTGGTTTACATAATACCTGGACACTGTGTCCTCCTGGTTTTTCTCTTATACCCCTGCTGCTGTTCAGAACCCCCTTGCCCACCTCGCTTCCATTGATCCATGCTGGGGTTTCTGGAGGACTCTATCCTAAGGCCCCTTCTTTCCTCATGCTACAGTCTGTTCCCAACTTTTCTCCACAATCTTGATGTCATCCCTTATTCTGGCTTTGGTTGCTACCTATATACCAATGGCCCCTTACTTTGTGTCTTTAGCTCAGACCACACCTCTGAGTTTCACAGGCACATAGCTGAGTGCCCGGTTCAGATTTCAGCTCAAATGTATGAAGATATTTCAAAATTCAGATGTTTCAAATTGAACTGTTCATCTCCCTCCACAAATCTGTTCCTTCTCTAGTGGTTCCTAACCACAAATGGCTCCCCAGTTCACACAGCTGCTTTCTGGATGCCTGCAAATTACCTTTGATACTTTCCTCTTCCTCCTACACCAAGTCCAACACCAGGGCCTGAGTGTTCTACCTCCTAAACCCTTCTCACATCCTTCTGCATCTCCGTCACCACCACCTCAGTCCCAGTCACTGTTTTCTCTCCTTGGACTTGGCATGTGCCTCCTGATGGGTCTCCCCACACCCATGCTTTATCTTTTCAATCCATTCTTCACATGGTCTGAAAAGAGATTTTTTTTTTTTTTTTGAAGTTGGTTGGTTTACTTACTTATTTAAGTAATCTCTACACCCAAAGTGGGGCTTGAACTCCCGACCCTGAGATCAAGATTTGCATACTCTTTCCACTGAGCCAGCCAGGTGCACTCCCCAGAAAGAGTTTTTAAAGGCAAATCTCATCTTGTCCCTGTACCTGCTTAACTTTCAGAGGCTTCCAACTGCCCACAGACCATGTCCAAAGACTTTCCCATGACCTACCAGTCGAGTCACCTTTTCAGGTGAATTTCAGCCACTTACCCCTCACCTTTTTTGGGCTCCAGACACATGGAGTCCCTCTTGTTTCTGAAACAGGTCAAGCTGTCCCTTTCCTTGGGAACCCTGAATACACTGATCCTTTTTCTGTGTCCTTCAGGGGACCCTTCCCTGACCGCCCCCCTCCAGGTTCCACTGTCCCATTGCACCTGAGTTTTCCTTCCCTGCACACCCCACATATGTGAGCTATACCTGTTTTTCTTTGCTGTCTTTCTCCTGGCTCTGTCACCATTGCCCACCTGTACCTACTGATGATAGGGCAGAAATGGAGTGTCTAGTGTCCCTCACATCCCAGCCCCAGGATGTGTGGCTGCTCACCATTTGGGGACTATCTTTTTTTAATGCCAAAGTTCAACAGCAGTCCATCTTTCAGTGGTTCTTTTTTGTGTGTGAGTGTGATGTTAGTCACCATATAGTACATCATTAGTTTTGGATGTAGTGTTCCAAGAGTCATTGTTTACGTGTAACACCCAGAGGCATGCTCTTTGGAGAGGGTGATGGAGTTGACCCAAATGGTCCCCCTGACCTCTTTCCCTGGAGCACCAGGGCCACATGGACGCTCCCTGGCTGTTTGAGAGCTTGCTTTATAAGCCTTGCCTAGAGCTAAAGTGTCCTTAGGATGATACGCTGCATCCCTGCCTAGTTCTCTCTTTTTTTTTTTTTTTAAGATTTTATTTATTTATTTGACAGAGAGAGATCACAAGTAGACAGAGAAGCAGGCACAGAGAGAGAGGAAAGCAGGCTCCCTGCTGAGCAGAGAGCCCGATGCGGGACTCGATCCCAGAACCCTGAGATCATGACCTGAGCCGAAGGCAGCGGCCTAACCCACTGAGCCACCCAGGGGCCCCCTGCCTAGTTCTCTTAAAAGAAGTTTTGATGTTTTTAAGACAGGCCCTCCCTGACCGTCCCATTGCTCCTTTTCATTCTCTAGTGTGCCTCCATTCACAGGAGTGAAATTGTTGAGGAGGGCCCGAACAGGGCCCTGGGTGGAGGGCGTGATGAAGACCTGACCTGCTCTCAGGGGAACAAGAACAGCCAGACAGAATGTACTTAAGTATCTTAAAAATGGCCTAGGTTGGGGCGCCTGGGTGGCTCAGTAGGTTAAGCCTCTGCCTTCGGCTCAGGTCATGGTCTCAGGGTCCCGGGATCGAGCCCCGTGTCGGGCTCTCTGCTCAGCAGGGAGCCTGCTTCCCTCTCTCTCTCTCTGCTTGCCTCTCTGCCTACTTGTGATCTCTCTTTCTCTGTCCAATAAATAAATTAAAAAATTAAAAAAAAATAGCCTAGGCTTTATGGGAGACAAATTGGTTGTGGCTGGCCCTTAGCTCTGCGGTAAAGCACAGTACATGGACGGTTCACCCAAGGGCCCCCAAACTCCTGGCCCCACGGTGCAAAGGAACAAAAGTCTGCCTACTCTGACTTGCAAACGCAGCAACAAGTTGGAATATTCCTCGAAGAGGCGATTTCTTCTGCACACGTGTGTCAGGGACAGTGTTTGTGTGTGAACATCTTCTGCCCTTGCTATGCCAGGCTTGGCAGACCAGGAACCACCCACTCCTCAGAGAGACTTAGTACATCTCAGCCATGTCTCTCTTCAGAACCGACCTTTCCTGCTCTGTGCAACAAGACACACCTCTCCGAGGAAGGAGGAGGACAGGATTTCCATCATTATTACACCCTATTAAAAACAACAACAACAAAAAAGCAACCGTGTAATTACTCTCTGCAGGAAAGGCGCACAAACAGGATGGGCCCGAGCTGAAGCCGGGATGAGCCATCCCTGTAAAGAGTAGGAAAAGGAACCTCCCCGGCAAGCGCCCGCTCAGGCCGCTGCCTCTCCCACACCGCCAGGCAGGCTCGCCAGCCCAGCTCCTCCCGTGGTAAGGAGGGTGCCGGCGACTCCTGGAGCGCGGGTTCCCGGCTCCTGCTCCCCCTCCTCCTCCTCCCGCCCCCCAGCACTCTCTGGACCCGTCTCCCAGGCGCCAGGTGTTGTCTCGCGCTTGGCCACGAGCCCTTGCCTTTAAGGCCTGCACCTGGGGGAGCCTCTAGCCCACCAAGCGCAGCCAGACCCCGCGCGACAGGGAGCGCGCGCAGAGCGGGGCCGGCGAGCCCGCGTGGGGCTCCCCGGCTGCGCGCGCCGGGTCACCGACCCATAGTCCCCGCGGGCTGCGCGCCACGCCCCCGGGATTCGAAAGGCGCAGGACCCGGCGCGGAATCCCGCGCAGGGGTTCTGTGAACTTGGAGCCTGGCGGCGCGAGGATCCTACCCGGGATGCGGCGGTAGCTGCTTCCTGGTTTGAAGCTCGCCGAGTGGGGGAGAGCGTGAGCCCGCGGAGGCGGGGGCAGGAGGAGAAGCAGGAGGAGGCGGGGGCAAGAGACGCTTGGGGCTGGAGCTAACCGGACGGGTCGCTCCGGCTCTCCGGGGAGAGGAGCTTCCCGGCTCTGGAGAAGGGGCGAACCCTTTGAGAGCCCCCGGGAAGCGCCGCGCGCTGGAGAGGGACGATCGGGCTACCCCGGCTCGCGGAGGGCTCGGCTCCGGGCTCCCCTCCTTTCCACCTCGCGGGGGAGGGGGCGAGGGAAGGAGGGGAGGGGAAGGTCCCCCGGAGGAGGCAGAATGACCAGTCGAGGGGGGCTTGGGCGCTGCTTTTCCCAGGAGCTGCCTCCACTCCTGCGGCTGCCGCGAGGGCTGGCTTGAGCTGGGGCTCCAGGCTCTCCCGCTGCGAGCCAGCGCGGCCCCCCGGGGCCCCGGCAGCGGCGCCGGCATGACGTCCGGCACCATGAAGTTCAATGGTTACTTGAGGGTCCGAATTGGCGAGGCTGTGGGGCTGCAGCCCACCCGCTGGTCCCTGCGCCACTCGCTCTTCAAGAAGGGCTACCAGCTGTTGGACCCCTACCTGACGGTGAGCGTGGACCAGGTGCGCGTGGGCCAGACCAGCACCAAACAGAAGACCAACAAACCCACGTACAATGAGGAGTTCTGCACCAACGTTACCGACGGTGGCCACCTCGAACTGGCCGTCTTCCACGAGACGCCCCTGGGCTATGACCACTTCGTGGCCAACTGCACCCTGCAATTCCAGGAGCTGCTGCGCACGGCCGGCGCCTCGGACACATTCGAGGGCTGGGTGAGTAGCTGTGATCCCTCCCGGTTGTGTCCGCTTGACTCGTTTTCCCCTCCACTTTTCAAATCTCGCCCGGGTCCCGCTTTCCCATCCTGTTGCCGAGCTCCGCGGCGGAGGGAATTCCCTCCAGATTTTGGTCCTCACCCAGGTGGCCGCGGCACTAGTGACGCGACCGCGGTGGGTGTGTGAGGGCTCATGCGTGTCTCCAGGAAGCCAGCCCGGACATGGTCCCCTTTTGGGATGGCAGCTTGGGCTAACGGGAAGTCAGGGCGGAGGGAGTGACAACACCCTTCACCCCCCACTGCCCAGACTTTGGATAAGGCGCCCTAACTCTGCGCACGCACGCGGGTAGTACAAAGAAAGGCGAGGAAGATGTGATATGAAAGTAATTTGATCTGGGTAAAGTCCTTAAAGCGCTTCTTAGGAGAAAGCCATACATTCTCGCAAGTATTATTCATAATGTTTATGGATACGTGTTGGTTCAGCTGCTCAGACGTGCACACGTGTTTCAGCATGCAGATCCATTACATCTCATGGGTACATAACCCACACTGGCAGGGATCAGAGTTCCTGGGTCTGCACGTTGGTGAAGTTTTATTGCTTAGCAGTTTTCCAAGGAGATGAAGTTTACCTATGTTTGTAAGCAACTTTGGTGGTTCTGTCACAGCCTGAGAGGTGCGAGTCTTGCGTGCGCCTTTCTGCTGCTATTGGTCTGGGAGCTTTGAGAACTCCTCAGTAGTTGGTGGGCCACCCCCAGTTGTCCCATCTCTCCTGCTGGTGTTTCTGTGTATTGACAAGTAGTTACCAGCAACTTCCTGCTTGCCTCTACTTTTCACATAGTTCCCACGAGACAACATTTATGCTGCAAGTAAATTAAAATTTCTATTAGCACTCTGCTCAGTGCTAAAATGCCGTTGCTGCTTATTCTCGATACTGTCTTTGTGATCCAGGTGTTCTCCTTACCACTTTTACATGATGACATGATAATTATAATCAAGTGGTCTGGTTTGGCAAAGTGGAGTAGAGCTGTTGGAAGATTCTCAGGAGTTTAATGGTTTAAGTTCAGAGGATGTCAGTTTTGAGTCCATAATGTGATTCAGTAGTGAAAACCTGTTTGAAATTAACAAGTGGTGGAATCAGATGGATAGTAACAAAGACTCATTTCAATATTTTATACTTTGAGGAACTGGTAATATTATCATATATTCTGTAAAATTACAGGTGGCTTGTAGAACTGTCTTTTTGTAGAATAAAACATGACTAACAATATCAAATTATATTGAGTTAATTTCTCTTCAGTTGAACTTTATGAAATTTAGAAGTGGATTGGAGAGGAATGGCTAAAATAAAGACTTACATTTTATCCTGTGAATTTCTAAATAGAAATAAAGGTGAGCCTAGGAATGCAAATGGAATTACTGAATTAGTGTTTGATTAGGAGTTTGATTGGGAAAGCTCTGGAGGAACCAGGTTCTGAAGTATGGTGGTAGGGAATGGCCAATGGTTATTAGAAGCATGACTTCCTGGAGGGAGCCTAGACTGGTCCTTCTTACCCCTGGTCTGCACCACTGAATCACATAGGGGGCTTTTGAAAATCCCCACTTTTAAAAACTTCAAGCATCACTGGTTGTGGGACCCTAGCTAGTATCAGTACTTTCAGGGTCCCAGGTGATTCCAGTGTACAGTCAAGGTTGAGAACCTGTGGCCTAAATGAAGACCAAGAGAATAAGACTGCAAGAAGCATATGGTAGGAAGATCCTGGATGACCAAAGACTTAAATATATGTTAAATATCTATATCTACAGTTGCCTGAATTAATTATACTGAGATGTTTAACTAACACACTGGTGGTGTTTTTGAAAACATGAACATTTGGTAGGCTAGGTCACCATTTAAAAGGCCTTGAAACCAGTGGTTTGCCATGCATTTATATTTGATTAGGGGCAGGGACAGAGTATTTTGTAAAAAGTTCTGGTTTTTTTTGTTTTTTTTTTTTAAGTTTTGGGTAATTTGAAACAGGATAGGATAGATAGTATGAGTAGAGTGTTTCATTAATTTTTAAGAAAAATCTTGTTAGGAAAATATTAGAAATATATGGAATGCTTGTTTTTTAAAGGATTCTTTATAAATCTAAAGGTGGTTTTCAAGTTTAGAATTACAGGAATACTTATTTATCTTTAGTGTATTGAAATGCGTAATTTATTCAAACATTTACAAATAGAATATTTGATTTTACTCCACAATAAATTCATATGGTGCGATCGGAATTACAAATCTCCGAACTTAAAAAAAAAGATCTAGTGACTTAATTTTTGCTAGTTCATGAGTAGAGAGACAAAAACAGAAAATACATTTTTCATTAGAATAAATCATGGTTCTGCATTCTGGCTTAATGTACCTTCTAAGTATCAAGAAGATAATATTTATTTTGGACCAATATTTTCAGTATTACCTTCTAATCTTGATGAGAGAAGAGATTAGATTTATTTTAATGCAGTGTATTTCTAATACCAATCTTAATGCCTGACATGGAGTAGGCAGTTAAATATTTCTTTTCTGACTGACTATACATATTTCATTAAATCTGCATAAAAGCTCAAGGAGGTAGATGGGATACAGCTAAAGAAGTTCTTAAGCAGTATTTCACAGCATTAGTTAAATGAGAAAAGATCTCAAAGACCTACGTTTCCATCTGAAACTAAAAGGAAGAGCAAGTGGAACTAAAAAGAAGCAAAGTAAAGTAGAAAAGAGAAACAATAGAGAAAAATCAATGAAACAAAAAAAAGCTGGTTCTTGTGGGGGGGGGACAGTAAAATTAATGAGCCTCAAGCCAGGATGATCAAGAAAAGAGAAAAGATAAAATTACCAATATAGGAAAGAAAGAACATCATTATAGATCCTACAGACATTAAAAAAGAGTATTATGAATAATTTTATGTCAAATTCCACAATTTAGATGAAATAAATTTCTTAAAAAAATTTTTTTTTTATTTATTCAAGAGAGAGATAGAGTGAGAGAGCATGAGAGGAGACAGAGGGAGAAGCAGACTCCCCATGGAGCTGGGAGCCTGATGTGGGACTCGATCCCAGGACTCCGGGATCATGACCTGAGCTGAAGGCAGTCGCTTAACCAGCTGAGCCACCCAGGTGCCCCTGAGATAAATTTCTTGAAAGATACAAACTACCTATACTTACTCAAGTAACTTGAGTAGCTTTATGTTTGTTAAGGTATTTAAATTTCTCATTAAAAACCTTCCACAATGCAGATTCAAGGTCTCAAGATGGATTTACTGGTGAATTCTGTTATATAATTAAGAAAGAAATAGTGCCAACTCTATACAACCTATTTCAGAAAATTTGAGAAAGAAACACATCTCAACTCATTCCATGACCCTTATGCCAAAACCTGATGAAAACATTTCAAGAAAATAAAACTATAGATCCATGCCCCTCATGAACATAGATATAAAAATTCTTAAATTTTAGCAAATCAAATCCAACAATATAGCAAATGGGTAGTACATTATCACCAAATGGGGTTTATAACCAGGACTGCAAGATTGATTAAACATCTAAAAATCCATCAGTGCAATTCTTCATATTAACAGAATAAAAGAAGAGATTGGTATGACCATATTAATAAATACGGAAAAAGTATTTGACAAAATTAAATAGCCAGTTGTAATAAAAACTCTCAACAAATTAGTAATAGAATGAAACTTATTCAGTCTGATGCAGGACATCTGTGAGAAACATATAGGGTACATCTTAATGGTGAAAGAATGAATGATATTCCCCTAAGATCAGAAGTGGCATGGATGTCTGTGCTTGTCACTTCTGTTCAACAGTGTGTTGGAGGTCCCATTCAGTGCATTAGGCAATTTAAAAAAATAAAATGCATAAAGATTACAAAGGAAGAGGTAAAACTGTCTTTATTTGCAGACAGCCTTATTGGGTAAATAACCCCATTCACTGATGTCACGCTATGGTGAATGAATCTTTCAAATAATTCTTAAAAACCTCTTTTAAGAGGTGTTATTAAACAGTTCTGCACAAGCCATCACAGATTGGCCATATTTCCCTTCTGTATGATCGTAGAAAATTCTAAGACATCTACAAATGGGCTACTAGATCTAACAAGTGAGTTTACCTAGGTCACAGGATCTCAACTAATACACGAAGGTCAATTGTTATTTCTATATACTGTTAGTGGACTGAACTAGAAAAAAATACCATTTATAAGACCATCAAAAATATTTGAAATTGGGTAAATTTGATAAAAGATGCGAAACTTGTTCACTGAAAAGTGACAAAATATTGCTGAAATAAAGATCTAAGGTAATGGAGGGGGGAATGTGTTCGTGAATGGGAGGGTTCAAAATTGTTAGGACCCCAGTTCTTCCCAAATTTGTTCAATAGATTTGTTGCAATCCTAGTCAAAATCCCAGCAAGCTTTGTTGTAGAAATTGATCAACCGATTCTAAAACTTATATGGACATGCGAAAGACCTAGACTGATCTAAGAACAGTTCTTAGATCTTTTTCTTTGAAAAAGAACAAGTTTGGAGGACTTAAACTCTCTATTTTAAGATTTACTGTAATGCTACGGTAATCAAGGTAATGTGATATTGCAGTAAAAAGAGTCCGATCGATCAGTGGAATGGAAGAGAATCTAGAAATTCATATATGTATGATTGGTTGATTTTTTTTTTTTTTGATGGATGCCAGGGCAACTTGATGGGGAAATAATCTTTTCAGAAGTAGTACTTGAACAATTGAATAGCAAAATGCAGAAATGTCAGCACTGTCCCTTACCTCATAACATACACAAAAATTAACCCCAAATGGATCATAGACCTCAACAAATGAGTTTAACTGTAAACCTTCTATAGGAATACAGAAGAAAATGGTAGTGACATTGGGTTCAGCAAATATTTTTTAGATAGGATACAAAAAGCACCAACTATTAAAAAAAATCAAACTCCATAAAAATTAAGAATTATT